TGAGGCAACATTAGTGCAACGTTACACACAACTGGTGGCCACGGACAGTGGGAAGCACACAACGTTGAGGCAACATTAGTGCAACGTTACACACAACTGGTGGCCACGGACAGTGGGAAGCACACAACGTTGAGGCAACATTAGTGCAACGTTACACACAACTGGTGGCCACGGACAGTGGGAAGCACACAACGTTGAAGCAACATTAGCGCAACGTTACACACAACTGGTGGCCGCGGACAGTGGGAAGCACACAACGTTGAAGCAACATTAGCGCAACGTTACACACAACTGGTGGCCACGGACAGTGGGAAGCACACAACGTTGAAGCAACATTAGCGCAACGTTACACACAACTGGTGGCCGCGGTGTGTTGGTCGGGGTCTGGCGCCGCGCCGGGTCAACACTCGTCGTATTTGACAACAAAGAAAAGTGTTTTCAAATTCTGTTTCGTGAGAAATGCCGAAATCTTAAGTCAAATTCCCATGAATTACATAAAAGACAAAAGCCAATACATAAAGAACTGTGAAAATGTTATCTTCAAGCATTAACAATCAGTAGTAATGATAATAAAGATAACAGAAAATAATTAAATACTGAGGGTTGTTAATGTGTAGTGTGGCTATCGAAACTACCAGTGGTTCCCTGATATCATGCTGGACGAGCATGTCTGTTCCAACACCGGTTATGGTCCACATATATACATACACATACATGTACACATTCACTAGCAACATTAATATTTATTGTGGGAATAGTTTTTATATTAATTCGAAAATATGACTAGTTAGTGTACACATGATCTTGAGTAGACAGTGGGGCCGTGTGGTGCAGGAGCCACCTGGTGTGGTGCAGGAACCACCTGGTGGGGTGCAGGAGCCACCTGGTGTGGTGCAGGAACCACCTGGCGGGGTGCAGGAGCCACCTGGTGGGGTGCAGGAGCCACCTGGTGGGGTGCAGGAGCCACCTGGTGGGGTGCAGGAGCCACCTGGTGGGGTGCAGGAGCCACCTGGTGGGGTGCAAGAACCACCTGGTGGGGTGCAGGAGCCACCTGGTGGGGTGCAGGAGCCACCTGGTGGGGTGCAGGAGCCACCTGGTGGGGTGCAGGAGCCACCTGGTGGGGTGCAGGAGCCACCTGGTGGGGTGCAGGAGCCACCTGGTGGGGTGCAGGAGCCACCTGGTGGGGTGCAGGAGCCACCTGGTGGGGTGCAGGAGCCACCTGGTGGGGTGCAAGAACCACCTGGTGGGGTGCAAGAACCACCTGGTGGGGTGCAGGAGCCACCTGGCGGGGTGCAGGAGCCACCTGGTGTGGTGCAAGAACCACCTGGTGGGGTGCAAGAACCACCTGGTGGGGTGCAGGAGCCACCTGGTGGGGTGCAAGAACCACCTGGTGGGGTGCAAGAACCACCTGGTGGGGTGCAAGAACCACCTGGTGGGGTGCAAGAACCACCTGGTGGGGTGCAAGAACCACCTGGTGGGGTGCAAGAACCACCTGGTGGGGTGCAAGAACCACCTGGTGGGGTGCAAGAACCACCTGGTGGGGTGCAAGAACCACCTGGTGGGGTGCAAGAACCACCTGGTGGGGTGCAAGAACCACCTGGTGGGGTGCAAGAACCACCTGGTGGGGTGCAAGAACCACCTGGTGGGGTGCAGGAGCCACCTGGTGTGGTGCAAGAACCACCTGGTGGGGTGCAAGAACCACCTGGTGGGGTGCAGGAGCCACCTGGTGGGGTGCAGGAGCCACCTGGTGGGGTGCAAGAACCACCTGGTGGGGTGCAAGAACCACCTGGTGGGGTGCAAGAACCACCTGGTGGGGTGCAAGAACCACCTGGTGGGGTGCAAGAACCACCTGGTGGGGTGCAAGAACCACCTGGTGGGGTGCAAGAACCACCTGGTGGGGTGCAAGAACCACCTGGTGGGGTGCAAGAACCACCTGGTGGGGTGCAGGAGTTGCTCAGAGCCCCCAGCTCTCAAAACCTGCGTCTCCAATGACGGTGCTCTTCACGTGAAGTGGCGACGGAAGGTGAGAGACGGGAGACGGAGCGGGACAGGATGCAGGAGTCAGAGGTACTCTACAGTGCCGCGTGTGGAGGCGGGAAGACTTACGACGTGCTCAGAGTTACGCGCTGGACTACGATGCGCTTGGGGGGGGGGGGGTGAGGATAGAGGGGGAAAGGGTCAACTTGTGACGGGGGGAAGACCCACCTGGCGCAGAGGTCGGTGTTGGGGCGGGAGACGCACCTGCCGCAGAGGTCGGTGGTGGTGGTGTGTGGGGGGGAAGAGTAGACCCACCTGCCGGAGGTCTCTGTGCAGGGGTGTATGGGGCCTGGGGGGGTGGTTGTCGTCCTGCAGCAGGTCCTCCCTACCCGAGGGCCCTTCATCTGCCTCCCACTGCGCCGCCGTCGCCAGACACTCCTCGCTCTCTGTAACCAAGACGTCCGGTTAGACAACTGTTGTGGGTTGCGTCCTGTGTAAGGTCTATTGTTTATGGAGGGATCGTCCTGTACAAGGTCTATTGTTTATGGAGGGATCGTCCTGTACAAGGTCTATTGTTTATGGAGGGATCGTCCTGTACAAGGTCTATTGTTTATGGAGGGATCGTCCTGTGCAAGGTCTATTGTTTATGGAGGGATCGTCCTGTACAAGGTCTGTTGTTTATGGAGGGATCGTCCTGTACGGACCCTAAGCCTCTGACTGCACAGATAAAAGGTCGGTAGTTGGCCGGGGAAACCACGATAAGCCTAACCAACTATTTATATCTATAAGAAAGAAAGTTTGTTCGCCTGTCCAAGGTTGGAGGACAGACGCCTGCAGTTTTCCAGTCCAAAAATATGCAATAAATGAAAACTAGTTCGATTTCAATCAAACTTTTTTGACGAGTTGTGTATGAAAAGGGTTTCATGTGGTCCAAGTCTCATCGTCCTAGCATAAATAGGAAGATTTTTTTGGCTTTTTGTTTTGTTTTTTCAATGAACTTTACACATTTTCAAATAGAAATTACAAGCACAATTTTCAAAGGAAATCATTTCTATGATATTTTTCTATCATATTAACATAAATGAATCTGTTTCAGCCGATTTTCCAAAATATGTTTAGTTTTACTAATACAAATACTCAAAGTTCCATAAAAAATTATGCAAATATATCCTGGTTTATTGCTATTATAAAATCAATAAATGAACTTAGGAAAAAAAGTCAAAACAGATTTGTAGAAATAAACTCTACATATAAGGTGTAAGTTTCATGTAAAGTGAATACAAAATGAAAGTTACAGGACCGTTTATGTGACTTGAAAATAAAGTAAAAAAATGAAATCTAAGTTGACCAGACCACACACTAGAAGGTGAAGGGACGACGACGTTTCGGTCCGTCCTGGACCATTCTCAAGTCGATTGTCTTGAGAAAGACACAATCGACTTGAGAATGGTCCAGGACGGACCGAAACGTCGTCGTCCCTTCACCTTCTAGTGTGTGTTCTGGTCAACATACTTCAGCCACGTTATTGTGACTTCACCTGCATGAAATCTAAGGTGCTGCCATCTGTGGCCGAGGTTGACATCAACTAATTCCTCCAAAATTGGCAGCCTTACAGATAGGCTTACGTGCAATCAGTAATCGTGTACCATTACTGTCCACACTACGCCTTGCATCTTGTCTTATCCGTTTTTTGTTGCCTTGTAGGTGTACAAATTTCATGCAAATCGTCCGATAATTTTTTTTTTAACTAATTTTGTTGGATAAAACTAATTATTAAATATTTTTATTATATGCTATTGTGATAGCCGAGAGTCAGACATGATTTCAGTTGACACTTGTATTTGATGTTAATTTTTTATCATTTTGGAAAATTTGACACTTCAATATTTTTTTTTCCCTTCCTATTTATGCTAGGATGCTGAGACTTGGACCAGATGAAACCCTTTTCATACACAACTCGTCAAAAAAGTTTGAATGAAATCGAACTAGTTTCCATTTATCGCATATTTTTGCACTGATGCCCCCTTAACGTGTATAAACAAAGCCGCCATAATTATGGAAAGATGTACAGGTTTCGTAAGTGGGTGAGTAAATGCTTAATGGTCCCAGGTGCCTTGACAATGAAGCCAGGTGTTCAGCAGTACAATAGGAAGGCTTACAGCCGCCTTCAGATGGAAGACAAGATTGCCGGCCTTATATAATCCCAAGGCTGTGAGAGCCGAGCCACGTGTTCGGTCACATGTTTTAATGATTGTACCGATGCGGAGGTCCACAGGTGCCGTGTTCCGACCCCCAGGGGTCCACAGGTGCCGTATTCCGACCCCCAGGGGTCCACAGGTGCCGTGTTCCGCCTCCCGGGGGGTCCACAGGTGCCGTGTTCCGCCTCCCGGGGGGTCCACAGGTGCCGTGTTCCGCCTCCCGGGGGGTCCACAGGTGCCGTGTTCCGACCCCCAGGGGTCCACAGGTGCCGTGTTCCGCCTCCCGGGGGGTCCACAGGTGCCGTGTTCCGCCCCCCAGGGGGTCCACAGGTGCCGTGTTCCGCCCCCCAGGGGGTCCACAGGTGCCGTATTCCGACCTGAAGGCACAAGGGAGGCTGCAGAGACAGGAATTAGGTGGTCACAAACCCATATACCAACGGGGGTCACAGGTACTGACCTGGGGTCACAGGTGAGGCTGGGGTCACAGGTACTGACCTGGGGTCACAGGTGAGGCTGGGGTCACTGGTACTGACCTGGGGTCACAGGTGAGGCTGGGGTCACAGGTACTGACCTGGGGTCACAGGTGAGGCTGGGGTCACTGGTACTGACCTGGGGTCACAGGTGAGGCTGGGGTCACAGGTACTGACCTGGGGTCACAGGTGAGGCTGGGGTCACTGGTACTGACCTGGGGTCACAGGTGAGGCTGGGGTCACAGGTACTGACCTGGGGTCACAGGTGAGGCTGGGGTCTGGGTAGCAGCCGAGCCACAGGGACGAGGTACACACGCCGGCCCACAGAGGTCGCACTCCACACCGGCCTCCACACCTGGCGTTGGAACACATGTATAATCTATACACCTGCATAATTCACGGGTTTAATCTATTATACACATATATACACACACACACACCTGTCAAAATACACGGCTTTCTATTTTGACCACCTGCTTCAAAAATTGGTTCAATCTACACACCTGCTTCAAAAATTAGTTTAATCTACACACCTGCATAAAAACACACTAATCTACACATGCCCCTCCCCCCTCCCTTCCTTCCCCCCCCCCCCCCCTCATGGTCAATGCTGTATTTGTAGTTTAGGCGGCCTAGTCGACGACCGGGCCGCGGGGGCGCAAAGCCCCGAAATCACCTCAAGGTAGTTGGCCCTGGCCCCCCCCCCCCCTGCACATGCCTAAACCCGTCCTCTCACTTAACCCTTCAGATTTGTATAGGCCTACCAAATCGTTACAAACATGACGTATTAGTACAAATTAAAGCACCGCGATATAAACGTTCTCTAAACATGAGTGGGGACAGGAGAACGCACTAAGCCAATATGTGACGAGTTCGGACGCTTCTAAATAGCCAAAACGGTTCGGATTTTGTTTTTTTTTTAGGTTTTTGGTTAGGGTAAACAGATGCATTTTTGGGGGGGGCAGGTGGAGAGCAGATGGCAAGATGCAGAGACCACCTGTAGCGGGGACGCAGCTCCCAGCTGGGATAATCTCAGCCTTCATCTTCAACTATAAATAGCTGTACACGAGAATCTATTCTCCTGTCAACTACCCTCCCCCCCCCAGCCCCTCCTCTTACCAAAGACGTTTCTTTGTGGGTCAGTGTCAGCCAGGCAATGTCAGCCAGGCAGCCAGTCAATGTCAGCCAGCGTCAGCCAATGAAGCAAGTCTGAGTTCTCATAACTGCATCATTAGTATTATCAGGCACACCTTCAAGCAGGGCCAGGGTTATAACAGTGACTAGGAGGAGGAGGAGGAGGAGGAGGCAGGTATATACACACACATAATACGCCATAGTTGGGCAGTCAGATGTCCCCACAACAATCGTGCCATGTGTCCATTAGGACTACGACCCACGAACGCTGTCCACTCAGTTGCGAGCGTGAGAGCATGAGCGAGAGAGGGACGGCGTGTGTGTGCCTGTCTGTCTGTGTCTCCATTAGCCATGAAGCAAGACTAATCTACACTCGCCATAGACCCGCTTTCGTGGACATCAATGTCTGAAAACACATCTATAGTTAATGATGCCCCCATCAACACCCACCTACCCAATCTTCGTTCACTGAACCTGAACTACGTCATGCCCCGAGCCAACCCCCACAACCTGTCTGAACAACCAAAGTCCCTGAGACAGCTTACAGGTGGAGGTGGTTGTTGTTTAAGATTCAGCTACTGGGAACAAAACGTTCCAAGTAGCACGGGCTATGGTGATCCCGTAATATACTTACCTGGCACAGGAGCGGGGGGCAGCTTACAGGTGGACACAGGGAAGGGGGGAAGGTGTGTTATACATCACCGTAGGGGCGCCGTAGGTGACAGTCAGCGACTCCTGCCAACACCTTACCTGAAAATTAAACAGAGACTTGTTTGTAAACAAATTTACTTTATACAGTACACAGAATGATGAGGGGGGAAGGGGGGGGGGTAGTTGTTTGGGGTAGGAAGATACATATGTAATGGCATAGTGTGACCCCTATTAGTAAATGTAATGGCATAGTGTGACCCCTATTAGTAAATGTAATGGCATAGTGTGACCCCCTTAATAGCAGATAAAATATAGTTTACCTCTCCCCCCCATTATTAGCCATTAATCTAAACGACCTGATCAACCCAACTCTCCTGAGTAACACAAGTGATTACAACACCACAGTGATCATCTCAGGCTATTAATCTCAACCTTGTATGTCTCCTATTTTGTTTGTGCCTGTGATTACACATCCGCTAAGCACAGTGATTAATGTGATCAGCTAGGCTGTTGTGCCTGGTGGCTGCTTTTACCGACCTTGTAGGCAACGGTAATAAGCAACTTTATTATGCCTGGTCACGCGTTGATCGTGGCTATTGTAGTTTTTAATTTACGAACAAAAATTGGACTCGAATTTGAGATTGAATACGGCCCGTTGAGGCAGTGTTTGTGTGTGTGCACTGTTCTTGACTGACATCCCACACCTGACACCACACACCTGGCATCACACACCTGACACCACCCGCCAAATCCCGCCGATGCTTCAAGCTCAGACCAAACTCAGGCGGGGGTTGGGGTGGATGAGGGAAGGCAGGGAAAGGCAGCAGGAGGGGAGGTAGGAAGAGGGAAGCAGGAGAAGGGGGTGAAAGAGGAGGGGCAGGCAGGCAGGCAGGCAGGAGGGGCAGGCAGGCAGGAGGAGGTGCAGGCAGGAGGGGCAGGCAGGCAGGCAGGCAGGAGGGGCAGGCAGGCAACAAGAGGGGGAAGAGGAACCACTGGAGGCGCCACACCAGGATGTACACACACCAACATCTCTCTCACACACATAAACAATGATCCCCACTCACGTGGTAACCTTACATCCCAACTCTACTTCACACACACACACACACACACACACACACACACACACACGCACGCACGCACGCACGCACGCACGCACGCACGCACGCACGCACCTGTGACAGCGATAAGCTGGCGTGTGTCAAGAGTACACATCATCCAGCAATGGACTACGTCTCAAGATAACACAAAGTCTGCTTATACGGAGCAGTGTTAGAAAGAGTACACCAGTGTACAGCGAGCGAGGGAGCCCCGGTGGAGAGTCATAGTCTTTGTAATAGTTTGGTGGCGAGGGAGAACTTAGAAGGAATAAATAATAGTAAAACTGTCCTTTACGGGTTCCCATACGTTACTTAACAACCCTGACCTGACCTTCACCTTACCTAACCTTGACTTGACCTAACCTTGACTTGACCTAACCTTGACTTGACCTAACCTTGACTTGACCTAACCTTGACTTGACCTAACCTTGACTTGACCTAACCTTGACTTGACCTAACCTTGACTTGACCTAACCTTGACTTGACCTAACCTTGACTTGACCTAACCTTGACTTGACCTAACCTTCACCTGACCTAACCTTCACTTGACCTAACCTTGACCCGACCAAACTTTGACCTGACCTAAATATACATACTGCGCTTACAACACAACTATTACGCGGCCTCTTACAACAGTTCCAACTGGCGCGCATAACCTCATTACAATCATTACATTCCACCTGCCAACGACAGACTAAACTCCTTCAAGAATGTGTGTCTATCTCACCAGATCAACACCCAACGAAGCACTCGCCAACAGCCTGTTTGGTCACCCTCTCTCCCGGCAGTTACCCAAGAACAATAGGCCATGTTATGCACGCCCCTTCGACCTAACCACCTACTTCAAGACGTCTAACGACCAATTACCGACAACTCAACTAGGTAAATATAGTGTGGAAAATGAGTAGGCAGGTTTTAAGGAGTTTAAAGACTGCTATAACGGGGAGGATGTTGTGGGGGAGATGCGTTATATAGGGCTTCAAGACACGCTATCTTTGGCCCCCGGCACGCTATCTTTGCGCCGGCACGCTATCTTGGCCCCCCGGCACGCTATCTTTGGCCCCCGGCACGCTATCTTTGGCCCCCGGCACGCTATCTTTGGCCCCCGGCACGCTATCTTTGGCCCCCGGCACGCTATCTTTGGCCCCCGGCACGCTATCTTTGGCCCCCGGCACGCTATCTTTGGCCCCCCGGCACGCTATCTTGGCCCCCCGGCACGCTATCTTGGCCCCCCGGCACGCTATCTTGGCCCCCCGGCACGCTATCTTGGCCCCCCGGCACGCTATCTTTGCCCCCCGGCACGCTATCTTTGCCCCCCGGCACGCTATCTTTGCCCCCCGGCACGCTATCTTTGCCCCCCGGCACGCTATCTTTGCCCCCCCGGCACGCTATCTTTGCCCCCCCGGCACGCTATCTTTGCCCCCCGGCACGCTATCTTTGCCCCCCCGGCACGCTATCTTTGCCCCCCGGCACGCTATCTTTGCCCCCCGGCACGCTATCTTTGCCCCCCGGCACGCTATCTTTGCCCCCCGGCACGCTATCTTTGCCCCCCGGCACGCTATCTTGCGCCGACACAATTTTCAAATGCGAAAATGCTCGACTTTCACACAATAAATCCAGAAAAAAGTTAAAATTCAATGAATACTTAATATTTTCCTGTTCAACATTGAAAATATATTTTGTGATAAAATATAAATTGAATATATTCTGCGGTAAGTGCAAACTGCCAATTTTCATGAAATTATGATAAATGGTGAATACATTATGCCTAGCCGTCCCCAGCAGAGGAATGATGGTGAGAGACACCTTCAAGTGAGAGACTTGCTCACGACATCAAAGATATCATAAATTTTGTATATGGGGGGGAACAAAATATTGATGACTTGAGGGCCGTCGGACACATGTTTATGAACAAAAAATACATTATAGCTATACGTCATGACGCAGAGTGACGTACGTCGTCCACACAGTATCCAGGATATCGCGGCCACGACAAAATTGGCCATGTTTCCTTTCACCTAATGCCTCTGTTCAGCTAGCAGTGAATTGGTACACCTGGGAGTTAGTCAACTGTTGTGGGTTGCATCCTGGAGGTGGGCAGTAGTTGACCTGGGGCCAGATTCACGAAGCAGTTACGCAAGCACTTACGAACGTGTACATCTCATCAAACTTTGACGGCTTTGGTTACATTTATTAAACAGTTTACAAGCATGGAAACTTGCCAATCAACTGTTGTTATAAACAGCCTCCTGGTGCTTCGGAGCTCATTAACTGTTTAATAATTGTAAACAAAGCCGCCAAAGATTGAGAAAAGATATACAGGTTCGTAAGTGCTTGCGTAACGGCTTCGTGAATCTGGCCCCAGGTGACCTCCATAAGCCTAAGCGCACTCCACGGCCAGGCGAAGACAACGACAGTTACAAGTGAGCACAACTGTACGTCACACTAAATTCAATTATTACAGTGTTGG